TAGCAACTACAGAGAACTAACATAGCAACTACTATAGCAACTACAGAAAACTAACATAGCAACTACAGACAACTAACCTAACAACCACAAAAAACTAACTTAGCAACTACAGAGAATTAACCTAGTTGAAAGGTTAGTTGTCAACGGTCAACGCCGGAAGTCAACGATCAATGCGGAAGTCAATAGATTCCGTCGAAAGTCTACGGATTTTGCCGGACGTCAATGGTCAACGCCGGAGTCAAGGGTCAAAATAATATTTAAATAATTAAAATAATAAAAATAAAAGAGTAAATCTTTGCCACATAATGTACCAAATCTTGTGGCTAAAAATGAGCCTCGCATCCTCACTTTAAAAAACGGTCGCATTTGAACTAATCCATATATATATTGCACGACTCGTTATTGTCTAAATTTAATGCAATTTATCAAATTAATTTATTAAACAAAACAATTTCATGTTGAAGTTTACTAGGCATAATTTCATTTTTAGGGTACTATATTGGTTATTTTTTAGCAAAAGTCCACTTTTTTGGCAGACATCGAGCTTGTTACATTAATTTGAAAATTTCATCAAACAAGGTATAACAATAATCAGTGGCAAGATAAAATTCACCGTTTCATCATTGTCTGTCTAATTCGAAAGCTGTTGATGTCCGTTTTAAGTGGCTGACCTACCGCTGAATTCTTCTCGTCGAGACGGTCGTGTCTGTATACTTTTATCCCAACTATAATTTGTTTACCCACTCAATTTTCTATCTAAAATAATTTGAGTTATTTTCAACCCGGTTTAGTTACGACATCATATAGCATCCGATTTAGGTGGGTCAACCACCATCGAATTCTTGTCGAACCGGTCGTACTCATAAAATTAGATATCAATTGGAGTTCGTTTACCTGCTCGATTTTCATCTGAAATAATTTAAGCTCAATTTTTTGTTATCTACCTAGGATAATTTTGTTTCCTTGTGGTGTACGTTTTAGTCGGGTAGACGGTCGTACCACAATTTTCTAGGTGAATTAGATTTCATTTGTCCAGTTAACTTTTCGTCTAAAATAATTTGAGATGTTATATTTTCAATTTAATGATGGTATCGTCTCACGTCAGTTTCCAGTTTGTAATATGCCGTTGAATCCATTGCGTCTAGACTGTCATTTAGCCAAAATTTCAGACACAATGGAGTGCATTTGCTTAGTCAATTTCCGGGTCAAAATTATATGCACAAACTAAATTTTCTGGCATGTGATTAGCCCACGTCCAACCCGTGATAATGTGGCCTTTATCCTGCTACCAATAATTAATGTAGTTTATTTGACGATTTTTTTTAATTAATATACTAAATTTGATGTCTGCCAAAATGGTGAACTTTTGTTGAAAAATGCCAATATAATGGACTAAATATGAAATATTGTCAATTTATCATCATAGTATAATAAATTATTTGTGTGCAATGAATAAAGTATAGACACGTAATATATAATATCAACATTTATTTAAATTTTAAGTGACGTTTTGAGACTTTTTAAAATTTTTAGATTATAAGGGAATCCTATGAAATCTCGGGTGGGGTATATTCATTTGAGATTTTTAAAGACTTTAGAATTCTGGTTAGATTTTGTAAGACATTTAAAAGTCTTGGGGTATTCATTTGAGATTTTAAAATGTCTTACAAAATCTTGAGGTTTAACTTATTTAAGAATAGGATTTTTTAAGACCTTTTAAGATTTGCTCGGATTTCAAAAGAAAAAATCTTATACATAATCTATTTCAAATTTGTGAAAGTAAATTATTTTGTCACCGTGGTGTATTTCTTACTCTCGCCCAATTTCTGTCGCTAAACCCCAATCGCCGTAGCTTCCCCTCGCCCTGCCGTTTTCGCCTTCCTCGTCGACGGCGATGCCCTAGGCAGAGGTCACCTTTGACCGCCCAACTTGTTCTTGATGCCTCGCGGCTTGTACAGCTTTCGATCTCCGTGTGGATGCCTTCGGTCGTCGGATGTTCAGCGATTGGCGGCGGCTTCCCTTTCCATGGACTCTGGCGGCTTGTCGTCGGGTGAAGGCGAATGTAAGCTCCTCTCTCTCTCTATTCCGTTCGGGATTGTTGCCCCCTTGGTTTGCTCATCTTTTTCGGTGGGACGTTGGATGGGGTTGGGTGGTTGTCGGTTTTCTACGGTGGCTCGGCTGATGAGTGGGTCCGCGGACGGGTCGGGACACCAACGGCTGTGGCGTCCTTCGTCAGGGTTGCCGGCGTTGCAGAATTGGATGGCTCTCCCCACCTCCGGTTCTCTGCTGGGGACTGGGTGGGTCCGGCGCTTCCGAGCTCGGCTAGTGGTGTTAGACGAGGTTGGGTAGTGCTGGAGCTGGGAGCTGGTCTTGTTCTCTCGGTTATAGGTGGGTTGATTCGAGTCGTTTTCGAGTTTTGAGTGCTGCTTCTGTATAGGCGGTTTCACAATTTCTGGAGCTTTTCCTTAGGCTTGGGATCGTCTTGGGTCAACTGTTTCTCTGCTGTTTTGGGCTCGTTTGTTGGATGTGGAAGGGCCCTGTTTTTCTTTTTTTGTTGGTGTTGCTTGAGTCTGTTCTAGTTAAATGTTTTTGGTATGGGCTATTTGCCTGAGTGTTTTATGTATTATCTTTTTGGTCTGGGCCGTTGGCCCCTGTGTTGATTACCCCGTGGGGGCCGAACCTATTCTTCTGTGAGGAGCGATTCTAGTTGTTGGTAGTGTTGTGAGTCTGTTTTTATTCTAGCTTGACTAGTTGAGGTTCTAGGCGGTATTCCGACCTATGCTCTCAGTTTTTATTTGGTAGCTGTCTTATTCAGCTATGGGTTGTATTTGCACTTTTGTGCCTTTTGATTATATAGTATTTATCGTTTCAAAAAAAAAAAAAAAAAA